ACGTTGATGTTTCTCTCTCTCTTCCTCTCTCCCTCCCATTCTACCTGAACAAAAAATGGAAAAATGTCCTCAGGTGAAGAAAAAAAAAAATAATAATAATAATAAAATTTAAGATTCTTTTAAAAAAATGTTTTTATTGATTTAGAGGAAGGGAAAGAGAGAAAGATCAATGTGAGAGAGAAACATGGATTGGCTGCCTCCTAAAGACCCCCTACTGGGGGATCAAGCCAGCAACCCCAGCATATGCCCTGACTGGGAATCGAACCAGGACCTCTCAGTCATGAGACAATGCTCAATCCTGAGGCACACCAGCTAGGCTCTTTTGGAAATTTCGGTGATCACTTTTCATGTAACTATTTTCTTAACTATTCAAATTCATAAATTAGTAAAATAAAATTTTCAAGGATCTCTACAAGCGCCAATTTAAAATAAGATGATATAGTTTGATAATGAACAAAAACGATAACCGATACCTAAAATGAAATTTGGGGAAGACAACGGAAAAATGATTATGAGTGGAAAGGCATAAGGAAGTTGGCACGGGTAGGCTAGAAAGACAACAAATACAGCCCCCCTTAATTATAGCTTCAAATGTCTGGTCAAGCACTAAGAAACAGAGCTTAGAAAATAAAAGATAGTGGTTTACATGTGGCCCCCGTCCGTGCTTGACTATTAAATGTATAAAGTTCTTTGCTTTTCTTTCACATCCAATGAAATCTGGTAGAAATACAGAAAAATGCCCTGCCAAATAAAAGTGTTAGGGCTAGTGATATGGGGATGAGAAGAAGCTTCTGGCAGCCTCAGAATCATCAAAACACCTTATTTAACATCTTTTTTACGGGAATCCCATCAGTTAAGAATCCCATGCTTGAATAGCTCACCACTCTCAGTACTGCATAGTGTTCTTTAGGGAGCTGCTGCCACACAGCAGGGAGATCATCTATAACAAAGTCAGCCTTGGGGTGGAAAATGAGTCATAAGAAGACCAGCAAAATTTCCGTGATCTCTAAATAGTTAATAGTTTGCTCTCATCTCAGGTAAATTGTTCTTATTTTTTTGGGTGAGCTCTGTAACTTTTATAATGGAAATACAAATCTAGCTAAAAGTAAATCTCTTTTTAAATTTATGCTGAAAAGGTTCAGAAGTTAGAAAACAAAGACAAAGGGATATTGATTACCACTGGCTTTGCTGTTGTGGGCAATTCATTACTGACACATTCCTGAATCAGTTATGTTTTGAAACCCAGCCAGCAATAGCCAGACCAGCATCACTTTTTAAATTTATCATTTTAAAATTTTTCTCATTTTTTTTCCAACTAGAAATGACAGTTATACAACATTGTGAATATACTAAATGCTACTGAATTATACACTTAAAAATGGTTTGTGCCCTGACCAGATAGCTCAATTGGTTAGAGTGTCATCCCAATACATCAAGGTTGTGGATTCCATCCCCAGTCAGGGCACATACAAGAATCAACTAATGAATGCATAAATAAATGGAACAACAAATTGATGTTTCTCTCTCTCCACCCCCTTCCCCTCTCTCTCTCAAAAATAAACAAATAATACATTTAAAAAGAAAATGGTTAGTTTGTTATGTGACTTTTACCTCAATAAAACCAAGGTCATTTTCTCCACTCTATTTAATAATTTAGAGTTTGGTGTAATAAATAAATAAGGTTTCCTCCAAGTACTAAGGGAAGAAATCATCCCCAGGGTCAGCAGTTAATCCAAAGAATTAATGAGGACATACATTTAGCAACATCTTTTATCTCAATATAATTTTTTAATAATTAGAAAAAGCAGTTAACATTCATTTCAGTTATCGTGAAAGATAACATATAAAAAGCAAACTGATTTGTGTTCTTTAAACCTCAAAGAGAACAACTGAAACCACATGACTTAGAATAATGGCTGGCAGAACTCCACCTCTGAAGAGTCTACAGAGGTGTCATTACTCCATTAGTGATAATGGCTATTGATCTAGCCTCCTGGAATAGCTAGTAGGAAAAACAGTATTACAGATAGCAAGAATTTTAAAGTTTATCAATTCTACTAGGAAGGCTTTTTAAAAAAAAATGTAATTAAGATAGCCTCTTGGCACCAATGCCCCCCACACACACCCAGAGTAGCTCAGTAATTCCAACAAAATTAGCAGCCCAGAACCTTTTTCTACAGCCCCCACCCCAGGCAAGTACCAGTAGCCTACTTAGAATATTAACTTCTCAGGAGGCCATTAAAATCTAAAGGACAAGACAGCATTGTCTAACCAATAGGAAACATCTAGGTGTTCTCTCTCCTTAGATGCAAGACTATACATTTGTCTTAGAAGACTAAACTTCCCTCTTTCCTCCTTTTCAAAATATTGCATATAATGTCTAGCCTGGTTACCCACATAAAACTACCACTCTGCACAGATCCCAAAAGTGTTATTACTAGAATAATTTCATTAAATGCAAATAAATGTAGTCCCTTTAACATGTAGGACTCAATGTTTTCTTTTTATCTTCCAGTATTTTCCAAATTCTCCACGATGAGATGACTTTCATAAGAGGAAAAAAAACAAAGTTTTGTAAACAGTTACCATTTTGAGAACCTATTGCATTTATTTAATCCTCACTACTAATTTAGCAACTAGGTATTGACCCATTTTACAGATGAGGAAAACAGGGTTCAAGGTAAACCAACTTCTTCAAAGTCACAGTAAACGGGTTTGAAAAAAAGGGCCTGCTTTAAGTTACAAACTGCTCTTTCCTCCAAATTCCATCAAGGAGAAGCATAAATATAGCAAAAGAGAATTTTTCCAAATCCCAATCTAGTGTTTTCTAACAGAATATTCCCTAACATTTACTGAAAATGACCCAGTAGGAAGTCATGATTTTTTAAAGGTTTTTATTAAAACCTGTCAAGTTAGTAACATGTAATAAACCCAAGTATACAACCTGGTTCCAGCACTATGATCATAAAATGTATTCTTGTTTAAAATTTCTATCTTTATTCCATCACTGCCCAATTTTAATGGTTAAATGTTTAAAAATACAAATGTATCTTACACATGCTTTTAAGAAAACTAGAAATAGGAAAATGAATAGGCATATCTAGAGGTCAATGACCTGCATATGTAAGGGTAAATGAAATTCTTATTTTTTGCACTTATCCTTATCTGGTGAAAGATGAAGTGCTCAATTCCATCTGGCATATCTGCTAATTTCTGCATTACCTTGGACAAATGCCATTTGCATACTCCCTACCAGCCCTTAGGTGCATTGCAGCCTCTGTGTCATTGTGTGTGACATCACTGGGTTGCTATGGATATATAGGTTCGAGGTCACTCGATTTTCTGTGAAACTAGAAGTATGGAAAAATTAGAAGAGTCTAAATGACACAAACTAAATATATTTCCAATATTGATAACTATTAAAAGTACAACATATCATTTGAGCTTTAAAATGTTTTAAGATCGAAAGTGTGGTAATACATTGATTCAGTGGTACTACCAATTTCAAAATCAACTGTCTTCCTTAATGAGATAAAATGTTTTGTTCATGTAGCTGGCTTAAACAAAAAGGCATCAGCACTATCATCTTTTGTGAACTCATGAAGTTATTCAGTAATCTGTAATACCTATACTGCTTCAGTAAAATGATTTAACATGCAAGATACACTCCTAAATCCACTTCACACTGAGGATACATTTTAAAACCTTTGTTACATAAGGTAGAAGAAAAGTTAAATATTAAGATAGGAGGAGACCTAAATCATTAATTGAATTAATTTTTCATGTTTCATTTAATAATGTTCAATACCTCCCCTCACCAACATCAAACTCGTTGGCAGCCCATTAGATAAATGTGGTGTTATTGACAAAATGGTGCAATACAGACAGTAATCTGCAGACAACTGGAGATCAGTATTCCCTTTTCATCAGCATGAGGATACGCTAGCTTTTTTGTTGTTTTCCAAGCCTCTGATGTATCTAACAAAACAATATTTTTAAAGAAAGACTTTTTCCTCTTTAAAATAACTCCTCCCAGCCTCCACCCAGTCTAGGCTCTCTGCAATATGACAAATGCAGAATCTTCTGGAATGATTTGATACTGCCTCCCACCACCGCTTTGTTTGCAGTAACAGATTAGAGAATATTTTTTCAACTTAGCAGGAATTTCAACAGATGTGTGCCTGTATTTAAAAAACAAACAGCATGTCACAAATTGAACCAGTCAGATAAATTCACAACCTTTATTTTGAAAACAATACCTACCCTTTTCAATACAAAACATTAGAAAAAATGAAGATGACATGTTGACAACAATCAATGAAAACGGTAACAAAACAAACGTTCCCCCTTCCTAAAGGCACGAGAGCTTTGCTTGGGAAATGGGAGAAAGAGGAGCCTTTTGTTACGAAAAACGTGAGGAAGGTTTCGATTTTGCACCACTGAGCCCACGTTTTCAGGGGAGCCTACATTTCTCCCAGGAAGGTTCTACAGGATCTGTCAGGAGAGGCAGCGGAAAAGATTGGGTGGGGGTGGGGGGATGTTAGGAAACCAGGAGACAAGCGGAGTGAATGGCAAAGGCGCCGCCCAGACACCAGGGAGAGAAAGAGGAACCGCATCCATGCGGTCCCCCGCCCCCACGCGCAGGCTGGGAGGAGGGGAAGTGGGGCACAAAGGATGCGCACGGCCCCCGCTCACGCCCCCAGCAGCCCAGGAGGGCAGAGACCCCGTTTCAGAGACCAGCCCTGCAAGACCCCGCCCCAGCCCTGGCCCCGGGAGGGCCTAGGAGGCAGCGCCGCCAGCCCTGGGGCACACTCAGGGAAAGGCCGCGTCACAACCCGGGTCCCCATTCGCTATCGAGACCCTCCTCGGACCTTTTAGTGAGCGAGGAGGAGCGGCCAACCCTGCAGTCACCCCAGGCGACTAGTACTCAGATGGTCCACGCGAAGGCCCGCGTCTGCGAAGGGGCTGGGGCGATGCGGGGGAGGGGAAGAGGAACTCACGTTCTTCATGGCCGCGGCCATGTGGTCGGAGCGCTCCGCCTGCTCGGCCGGGCTTTCTGCACCAGCTGCTCGCGATCCACCATCTTCCGGGCTGGGTCGGGCCGGCCTGATCACCGGGAGGCCTGAGGGCTCGGAAGGCTGGAGCCGTGTGCCTGAGGGACCGACCCAGGAAGCGGGCAGCAGAGGCGACAAGGGGGCGCGAAGGTTATGGCTCGAGTTGCAACCGCGGGAGCGGTCGTGAAGCGGCTGCGGCTGCTGTGCGTGCCGCGGACAGACAACCCCTTGAGGTCCCGCCCACGCCGCGTGACGCACAGAACCTGCCCACCCGCGCGCCCCGCCCAGGCCCCGCCCCGGCTCTTCCGCTTCTCGGGCTTTCCCTCTGCAACTCTGCTCGTCGCCGTTTTCTGCGTGTCCCTTCCGTCCCCGCTGCCCCTCAACAATCTGGGTTCTAAACTTCACCCCGGTTCCGCGTCCCAGCCTCTCCAGACGTCCCCACCCCTCCCCGCTCAGACCTCCGCCCTGCCAGGCTCCCGGAACCTGGGCCCCTGGGAGTTGTAGTTCGTCTACCAGCGAGGGGATAACGTTGGCGAGATCAAGGACAAAGGGGCGGTCAACACTACAGCTCCCAGTGGTCACAGCGCGCGGGCGGAGGGAGGGGGTGTTTCTTATTCAGCGGCCGCTGGGGACCCCTGGCGGGAACGAAGGCTGCACGAGCCCGGGCGAGTGCTGATTCACGGCCCCGCCCCATATTCTCCAGGAAATTACCAGGGGAGGGGGCCAAAGCCTCAAATCTGGACCGTGTCTCCGAGATACTGTAGCAGGCCTAGGCGGTTCACATGTGAGGGGGCTCATCTACTGTAGATCCAAACTGTCAAGGTGATGCCCGCCCCCGGGGTGGCTGAATTAAGGAGCTAAACATTGGGAGCTAAACTTTTACCTTCCCCCACAAGATTCCAGCTCCCCAACCCAACCTTGAGGTTCTTGGACCTGATGAGAGTAAAAACATGGAAGGACAAATATTGGCCAGGCATACTGGTTAATTTACAGAAAGGATGCAGCTGTCTGCTGACTGACCCCTGGGGAGCCCCTTCTTCCTCTCCAGGGTGGAGTGTTAAAGATTCAATTCTGTTACCAAGAGCCTACTATATGCTTAACACTGGGTTCTATCTGGGGTTAACCAATCCTCTCCACCTAGAACATACACACCGAGGTCAAGCTAACAGATTCTTGCGCATGTGCTTCTTTTTTTGACATTCTATGTAGCTCACACACCCCTAGTTTTGACTGCACATTTTATTTACTTCATCTATTCAGCAAGTATCTATTGAGCACCTACTGTGTTCCAGCACTGTCTAAGCAATGGAGCACTGCAGTGAACAACAACAACAAAACAAAACTACCCTACCCAATAAAATAGGCAGGATATAAATACAGGTAGGCCAAAGTAGGTTTATAGTTGTATAAATAAATAGTACAATAATTAATAAATAATAATATAAGAATAAACTGTTTCATTTACTCACAACTGTAAATCTACATTTGCCCACTCCTGTATGTAGAGTATGTTAGAAAATGATAAGGAGTTAAAATATAAAGTATGGGATATTACATGTGTGTATGAGAACCTAGAATGAAGGAGTTTCTCTGAAGAAATATTCCAAGCTCTATGCTAGATGCTGGAGAAAGAGGACACGGAACCCTGCCCTCAGGAATTTAAAATGTGTTAAGTGTTAAGTATTTTTTAAAAATTGATTTCAGAGAGAGCAGAAGGGAAAGGGAGAGAGAGAAGAAACACATTGATGTGACAGAAGAACATCAGCCCATTGCCTTCGGGCTCAGCACCTCAACAGGGAGTGGAACCTGAAATCTGGGCATGTGCACTAACTGAGAATCAAACCAGCGACCCTTTGGTGTACGGAAAGACGCTTGACTAACTGAGCCACACCAGCCAGGGCCTAAGTTTTCTGTTTTTTGGTTTTTTTTAAATTATTTTGGGCTGGATAGGAATAGATTCTGAAAAGCTTCTCCAGGGAGGTTGGTAACATTTCCAACTCAGCTCTTAAAGAACACATAGGAGTTGAGAGCAGGCAGAGAGAGGGCACAGGCAGCAAGACTCAGAGGCAGGTTCCTCCCTAACAGATATATTGATACACAAAGAATCCAGTGTTTGCTACCTAAAGTGATGGATAGTGGGGCTGGGGATGGAGTCAGGAGCCAAAACATGAGGAGCCCTGAATGGCACACAAAGGACTTAAATCTTTATTCTGAAATAAATAGAAAGCCTGTGAGAGATTTTAACAAAGGCAGAAAATGAAATCTGTGTTTGGTCTTCTTCATCACTGCCTCCTTGGTGCTTAACACAGTGCCTGGTAAACAGTAAATACGTAGAATATGTTAAAGAAAGGAATGAGCCCTGGCCGGTTTGGCTCAGCGGTTCGGTTCGAGTGTCGGCCCGAGGACCAGAGAGTCCCAGGTTCAGTTCCCACCAAGGGCACGTACCTCGCTTGCAATTTGTCCCTGGCCTGGTTGGGGTTGTGTGGGTGGCAACCAGTCAGTGTGTCTCTCTCACATCGATGTTTCTCTCTCTCTCTTCCTCCCTCTCTCCCTCCTGCTCTATCTGAATATAAATGCAAAAATGTCCTCGGGTGAGGATAAAAAAAAAAAAGAAAGGAATGCATATGGACTGAGTGAAGAGAGAATCTAGAATGACTCTTCTCTCTCTCCTCCAACAAAGGATCCAGCCCCTCTCCTTACTACACCACCCAGCAAAATACAATCCTGCTGGTGAATAAACCCTCCCACTTCCTTCTGTCCTTCCTCTCCCTTTCTCTTCCTGCCAGGCAAGGCATGAACTATTCTGGCCTGGGCATAAGTCCATGGGAATGAGTCCTTTAAGCCAACCCTGGTTGTCTACATGTGGATTAAATGTGTCAATGCTAAATCTTGGGAACTTTCTGGCACATTTCAAGCTGATTCCCTGACCTCTCCACTTCAGTTCCTTCCACTACCAGTCCAATGTGCATTCAAACAAACAAAAATCCAGGCCAAATCTGTTTGGGAAAAGTCAAGCAGATGTAAAGAAAGGATGTTCCAAAGACAAACAGTTATGACATCTGTAGTCTCCACAGTGAGGCTCCCCTCCAATGGTGTAGGGGAGAGCTGGCCCTGTCCCCCCCCCCCTTTCCCTTTTGATTTTTTTTTAAGACTCTAGGCTTAAAGCTGCAGCAGCCCAGCAGCCCCTGGCTTTTTAGAGGACTGCTTCAGAGGCATGATGACATTATACAAAGCAAATGGCTTAACATTCTTGCTTTCTCCTCTACTGCCTGGTACTGCTAAAGAAACCTGAAGCAGGGATTTGAAAAACTAGCATTCTGGCTTCTACCTGGCTCCCAGCTCAATGTGCAAGGCCTGTCCCCTCTCTGGGTCTCAATTTTCCCTCCTTTGAAGTGAGAAATTAAACTAAATGAGAAGTACTCCACCCAACTGTGACAAATCGTAGTTCTAGATACATCATGTTCCTCTTCTGAAATGGAAAACTATTGCCATTCTTTAGCTGTAGAAACAGGGGATCTGTACCTAAGAACCTGAGAGATGGCTGAATCCCAAGGACTGAGAGGCTCAGAATCATCTTTGTTTTTTAGACAAGAAAGTTGAAACACAGATGCTATGTGACCAGCCACAGGTGATTGATAGAGCCTGAATTCAAACCCAGGCAGATCTTCTGGACTCCCCATAGTAGGACACCCTTTCCTGCCCAGGCTATGAGGATCTACCCCTTGGCATGTCCTCAGGAAAGGAGGGGCCCTACCCTCTGGTGACCGGCTTGACACAAGGGTACTGGGCAGGCACCCTGTATGACTAACTGTGCACCCTATCTCCAGTGCTGGAGGACATGATCTTTAGAAGCATCCTCTTTGGCTAAGTTGACAGACAAGCAGGCCAGCCAGAGACATTAATGTCCTGTTGTGCAATCATAAATCACCACAGCCTCATCCCCTGGCTCCTAGCTTCCTCCTGTGGCTGGAAAGCTCCCTGGTTGGTGTAGAGGCAGCAGCAGCAGCCCCAGCTTCAGAAGCAGACAAGCAATGCTCCCTACTCTGTCCTCTGGGAACACTTCTCTACCACTGCCCTAGCAGGCTGGTCTGCAGTAGGGGCAGAGCACACAACAGATTCAGAGGCAAAGGACAATGGGGAAATCTCAGTGGGCTGCCTCTCTTCCTGAGGATACTAGGGCAGTGGAGGATGCCTGTGTTGGGAGGCAGAACCCACAGGTTGAAGCCTGGACTTTGCTATTAATCTTGCTGGGTGACCTTGAGCAAGGCACTTTAACTTTTTGGGCCTCAGATTGTGCAGCAATAAGATAAAAGAATTGGGTAGATGCTTCTTAAGTTCTTCCAACTTGTAACAACAGCCTTTACTTTTATCTTAAAAAATTTTTTTTCTTTATTGATTTTTTTTTTAGAGCGCGAAGAGAGAGGGAGAGAGAGATAGAAACATCAATGAGGGAGAACATCGATTGGCTGCCTCCTGCATGCCCCCTACTGGGGATTTGACCCACAACCTGGGCATGTGCCCTGACTGGGAATCAAACCGGCAACCTCTTGGTGCATGGGTCAATGTGCAACCACTGAGCCACACTGGCTGGGCTGTAACAACAGCCTTTAAACTGCCCTGCCTCACTATCTTCCCAGGCTCCCCAGTGAAAGATCTGCAAGGTCTCTCCAAATGTACATCTGATCTTCTCCATCCCTTGCCTTGGCTCCGCCATGCATGCCTTTCCCATTGCACATGGGCCAAAGCCCCTGCTCCTTAGCCTGAAATCCAGGCCTTTCCTGAAGATCTGCACCTCCCTCCCCGGCTGCATCTCACACAGGGCACTTTACTGGCATTTCACAAGCATGCAGTGCCATCTTACAACCCTGGGCCATTTCAAAAGCTGTTCCTTCTGCTGAGAACTCCATCTACCCCCACCCCATTCAGCTATCTCCTCATCTTTCAGACTCACCTTTCAACTATGAGTTAAACTGACTGCTTCCCCTTGGTTCCCCCAAACCCCAGCTCCACACTCCACACTTCCAGTCTG